CTCAGGCTCTTGTCAGCTTTGCTTTGCATTCACTTGAACATCCTTATCCTTGGTGACTTCCCTTAATGATTTATCTGTACTCTGTATTTATATAACCTATACAATACTGTATTTATATAATACCTCATTCCCTTTATTCTGAATTTACGACATGACTTTCAGTGTGATGACCTTGAGTTTTATTTAGCCATCATCTCCCTTGATATAACAGTTGATCATAGGAGACCCATGAGGGGCCCCCCTTTCTTCCTGGGCACTAGTAAAATCTGCTAGTGATCTTTCAAAGTTGCATATTTGTATCAAAGATAAGCAAGCACACAGGACACAGCACAGACTACCAGGATCAGAATACAAGTAATGGACATAGAAGAAATATAGTTAAGTGACTTCATTTGCTACAATGTAAAAGTCTGCTAAAAAGCAACACTCTATAATGTCTATTTTGTATACTTTAAACTGCTCTGGAAAACAAGCTACCAGGGGAACGTGGGCGGCAGGAGTGAACAGAGAACAGGGGTGAAACCTTACACACCTTACAGGAAGAACGTCTTGTAGAAAATGCTCTGAATCCACACATCTTGTGTTCGGCTTACTAAAAGTACATGATTTATTGCCCAGCTAGTTTTTAATTTCTATCCAAAAAAGTTACTCGTTCATAGAAATCTAAACTTGTGTGCTCTAAACACCCTTGTAAACAGACCCTTGTAACAGCATAACTTCCTACTACCAATTTAGGTGACATAGCATAAGATTCAACAGACTTGTTTATCAGTGAGGGTTTGCTGGTTTTATCCTTATGGAGATTGAATTCAGGGTATCAGCATACTAAGCACACACTACCACTAGTTGAAAGGATTTTTTTTTTTAAAGGAAAGATACTAGAGAGCAGGAAAACACTGAAAAAAATAATCAAGACTCGGATACCATTATCTAAAAGGAGACTCAGCAATGCCAGGAAAACGACAACACTGAGAAAATAATACAGTGAAGAAAATCAAGCAGCTTAATTTAGTGTTGACCTTTTCTGAGGCCTTTAAACAATATCAAGAAACACCTAAGTATGCAAAAAAAAAATAGCCAAATTAAATCTGTTTTCTTATTCTTCCTCTTTTTTTTTTTTTTTTTTTTGAGATGGGATCTCTGTGTAGCTCTGGCTATCTGGGAAGTTGGCCTCAAAGTCACAGAGATCCACTTGCCTCAGCCAGCCTCCATAGTAAGTGCTAGAGTTAAGGGCATGTGCTATCACGTCCACTGATATTAAACAGTCTTAAATAAACAAAATGCTCTAAACCTTGAGTTTTAGACTTACAAAAAGTTTAAAATAGTTGCCACTGGGAATGAACACCAAATGCTATAATCTCTATAGTAGTAAGATGGCTATTACAAAGTCTTAGAATTTCCTCACAATAAGAAAGGAGGTGTGTACAAGTAAGATGGTGTGCTAGAAACTGTGTGTTAGTATTCTGTCTAAACTCCACCTCCACAGTTACCTGGCAACAGGCAGGTATGCTCCTCTCCACATGTTTATAAAAAGATAAAGAGATAAAGGGTAGGTTCAGTGGGTGTGTGGAGAGGTATGGGGGAAGGGAATATCTCAGCCGGCCCATGCAGAGGTATCTCTTCCCCCTGAGGGACCAGTCACACACACCAGTACAGCATAGAATAGAGTTTATTCAGAGCATGGGGAGGGGAGCCAAGAGGGTAGAGACAAAGAGGGGAGGGGAGGGGGAAGGGGGAAAGAGGAGGGGAGAGGGGAGAGGAGAGAGGGGAGGGGAGGGGAGGGGAGAGAAGAAGTAGAGGCCAGTCATGACCATGTGGAGAGAGGGGCGAGGGGACGGAGAGAAGCTAGAGTCAAGAGAGAGAGGAGGGGGCAAGCAACCCCTTTTAGAGTGGGCCAGGCCTACCTGGCTGTTGCCAGGTAACTGTGGAGGTGGAGTTTAGACAGAATACTAACAGTGTGACCTTGCCCCCCAGGAAGCCTCAAACCCAGGCTCCACAGCAAATGTGGGCACAGGAACCCCATGTTTGTCACTATACATCACTTAAGTGCTATCTCAAGAGGGCAACTCTGGGAGTTTGAGAAGAGATAACTGACACAAGGCAAAGAGGCTAAATTCAACCTGGCATGCTCTATGGTCAGAAACAGTCCTGTGGGGTCATTGTGGACAGCAAGGAAGCCTGGCCCAGGAACTGAAGGGCAGGAAAAAGCATCCCTGCTCTCCGGAGTCCTGGACCAGATTTTATCAACTGGATACCTTTAGAAATTGACATCCTTTTCAGACTCAACTCTGGAACAACCAATCTGTTGTACAGAGCTCAAGAGCCAGAAGCTCCGGTGGAATATTGACACACACCCGCAGAGGGACTAATATTTTTAAAAGGCTTAAAAGCAAGAAAACTTTCTTGTACAGACATCAAGGCTGTACTTAAATTCCCTACCCCTGAGGCTCTTGTAAGATATTTTGTGTGTGTGTGTGTGTCTGTGTGTTTACACGTGCTCGCACTCATATTTTGTATATATTTCCCCAGATAAAACATAAGTCCCTTTGGTCATGATCAGTGAACTCTCAGGAGAGTGAAAGAACCTGTCTAGCCCTCAGACTGCAGGGCTCAAAGTGTTAACAGAACTAAAGTGAAGTAAACTCTGGAGGACACTGAACTTCTGTACCACACAGGCTTGATACCAGCATGCACAAGACTGCACAATCAAGTCGGCTAAGATCTAGAAATGAAATAAATAAGATGCTCAATAAGAAGATCCTCAAACACAACCAAAAAGGACAACTTAGTAGATGATCAAAACACAGTAAAGAAATGTGAGAACCATAAGAAACCAACACAGCAGGACTCTCCAGAGATACCAGAGTGAGTATGAGATCTCAAGTTTACTATTAGAAATGAACAACAAGCCAGGCATGGTGGCTCATGCCCTTAATCTCAGCACTTGGGAGGCTGAAAGACAAGTGGATCTCTATGAGTTCAAGGCCAGCCTGGTCTACATAGTGAGTTCCAGGACAACTAATGATAATTATAATGACAACTAATGATAATGATAATGATAACATAATGAGACCCTGTCTCAAACAAAGAAAGAAATTAACAACTGCAAAATAGATACGAATAACAGATAAATCCAGCTCAGGACGTAGGAAGGAAAGTAAGCAACATAAACAACGAACGGTCAGAGATGGCTCTGTCAGGAAAGTGCCTGTCACACAAGGAAGATGATCTGAGTTCAGATTCCCAGCACACATGTAAAAGGCTGTTTATGGCAGTGTTTATGGCAGTGTTTATGCCTGTAGTCCCAGTGCAAGGGAGGTGGAAACAGGGAAACTATCCTACACAAACGAGGGCTGGACAACGAGGGCTGGGAATACATATCAGCAATTCAAAAGGACACAAGGAAAGGCCTCTTGTAAAGTGCTCATAGGATTATAAACTTGTACAGCCACTACAGAAATCACATAGGAAGTCCCTCAAAATCCAAACAAACAACCTAACAAGTGAGCCCACTATAGCAAACCTGGGTGTATTCCTGAAGAACTCGGTCACACTACAGATACTCACACATCCACACTCATCCCTGCTCTAGTCTTAATAGCTAGAAAGATGCTTAACATGCAATGAATGAACGAGTAAAGAAAACATGATACATATTACGATGACAGTTAAGTTAGTCACACAGAAAGATGAAGTGACATTTGAAGGAGAATAAATGGAACTGGAATTACTACAAATGGCAATATGGCCTATCTCCTCTCCCATGTAGATTTATGTATACGTTTGCCATCCAATTAGAAATGGGACCACAGGCTAGAGAGATGGCTCAGTGGTTAAGAGCACTGACTGCTCTTCCAGAGGTCCTGAGTTCAATTCCCAGCAACCATATGGTAGCTCACAACCATCTGCAATGGGATCTGATGCCCTCTGAAGACAGCTACAGTGCACTCATATACATAAAATAAATCTAAAAAAAAAAAAAAGAAGAAGAAATGAGACCATGGGAGAAGAGGAAAAGATCTTAAGGGATGAGAGAAAGAAAAGTGACAGTAAAGGAACATTGTGCTATGTAGGCCTAAGTAGGGACTATCTGGAGGGAGGAGGGGGGCAAGAAGGGGGGCAACAGATAGGGAGGGCAGAAGAGAGATGTGACTACTAAATAGCTAAATAAATGTAACATAAATATAAAGCAACAATGACCAACTGTGCTAAATACCACATAGAATACCACATTAAAACATAATATAAAGAAATGCATTAGTATTTATAATAAATACTGCCAGGCTCTTTGATGCAGCTATTATTTTCCAACTGTCCTTACTCAGCTGAAATAAAGGACGTACATAAGGCTGATACAAAAGTGTCTCAGAATTACAGAAAAGTTACAGGCAGACAGGTGAGAAACTAAACTGGGTATCTTTTCATTTTGACGCAATTCTCCAAATGATTGAAACTGTAAATGATGAACCAATGATTTACATATGATAATCAGCCCAAGGAATTTTAGTAACTTTCATGGTTTGAATTAAGAGGTCAGACCCCTTTTAAGATTTGGTATAATATCTGTGTATAGTGCACATGGTAATAATCCCAGCATCCTGGAGGCTGAAGTGAGATGGTGATTAGTTGGAGGATGGTCTAGGCCACACAAGCTCAAAAGAAAAAAAAAATCATAAACACAAGCTATAGTAAATACTGCTACTTATTCAGTGGAAAATAAGATTATACAATAACTAGGCTTTTTCCAGTTTTCCTCAACTTACCTATTAGAAAAAAGTTTCTATAAAAATGGTAGAAAATCATGGGACAAAGAATGATAAATCTACTTTTTCATCTGTCTGCTTTCATAAACTATAACTCAGCATGCAAAACAAAATTCTACACTAGAGCAAAGCACTTCTGTATTTTCTTTCATACTTATCTAAACACAGTTTTGAGAGTTAGACGATGGACACTATGATGCTTATATCACTGGAAGGAATTTAAGAAACTTAACTCACCATTTCTTAGGCTTTGACAGTGCTTTGTATTTGCTATATTTTACACGCCATTCAAGAACTTCTTTACAGCGCTGACATACTCCATCATGAAGTTTTGCATTAATTTTCTAAAAGCAAATACAAATAAATCAATTAATAATCTCATCCACAAGTCAATATGGCAAACACCATAAAAAGGTTCATGGGAACGTCATAGAAATATTCTTGGATGAGCAAAGTGAGTCAGCAGGTATAGGTGCTTGCCACCAAGCCTGAGGCCCTGAGTTTAATCCCCTGGACCTACATGGTGGAAGAAATGAATCAATTCTTACAGGTTGTTTTCTGATCTCCAAATGCGTGCTATGGAGCACACACCCACACACAAGCATAAAAAATAAATAAAAACAATTTAAACATTAAATGCAATGACTTGCTTTAATCTATCTAAGATTCCATGACACAGCGTGTGTTTTATGACACTACTCAATTTGGTTCTACACAAAGGCAATAGTTTCTAACCTGCCAATACATTAAAAAGTTTCCAAGGAGACTTTGAGAAAGCATTCCTCATTGGCCCTGATTTAGTAGATCAAGACTAATACTGGATAATTAAGACACATGGATTTTACTGTTTGTAAACTAGACCTAAATAAAAATTTAATAAAAGAAAAAAACCCACAAGATTATTATTCAATAATTCAAATTCTACCGATGCTTCTGAATTACAGTGAAAAATTGTAATTATCATTTTATTTGGGAAAGTAGTAACTGAAAATTAAGATGTGCTAGCAGTAAGTAAGCAGGAAGCCAAGGGCATTTCCTTTTGTGTGTGTGTTTCTATGTAAGCAAAATGTTTTACAAAGGTTCGTTGGAAGCCCAGTCTCAAATCAACAAAACTCCTCCAGCTCACTTGGTCTCATGAGAATACAGCATGAATGTAAACATGGACAGACAGTGAATAAAGGACCTCACTAGCTGTCCCACAGGAAGAAAACATTTACATTTGTATTCTCCAACCATGTCTGTATAAACAGGCAAGAGTTTAAATGTATCCTAGGTCCTCTGTAATATATCTTATGACATGTATCTTATGGAAAGCTCACATGTTATAGGATTTAGGTTCTGAGAATCCTATTATTTCTTTTGATAAAAGAGGAAGGCTGGTCTTAGCCCACTGTTAGAAAGCATATTTGCCATTGTAAAGGATAGTTTTTTCTCCTTTTGTTTCCTTTTAAAAATACCTCCAAGATGGGGGAAAAGCACATCACACAAGACACAGTCTTTGTTTGGCCATTTGATAATGAGTTACAAGCACAGTATATGGACTAGGTCAGCTGAAATACACAACTGAAAAGGCCTCTGCTAGCCATAACAGTTGATGAGGGCAAGATATTCTCTCAAAACATTTATTCTAAGAGAATATATTTTAAGGTCCATAAAATATGCTTTGAAGATCTATATCTCGGCTGAACTCTGGTAAAGAGTATATTCTGTCATTTATAAATAATGTATGGGTTTACTGCTGTCTTTCTGACATAGTAATGGTCAGTCCCAGTATGCCTCTGTGTTCACGTTACTATGTTATATTATAGAGTAAGGAATTCCATGCCTACACACCAAACTCCTCTTCCTATGCACCTTGGCACATAGATGCCATGTACTAAGACTAGGGATCACATGGACAGACAGCTAAGAAACTCAGACTTCAAATTCATAATTCATCAATTGTCTTCTATCATCTGTTGTCTGAAATATCTTACAACTTGTATTTGTCACTTAACAATTATAAGAATAAGTTAATGGCTTTAAACCAAAGTTACAATGTGAAGCAAATTTTCTAACTAGTAAAAATTCTTATAATGCAGGAAATTTCATTACCTGCAATTGTAGTACACTAACATGCATTGTTTGCCAACCAGGAAGCATTAGTTGGTTTCCTGTTTGTTTCTCTATACAATTTCTGACCAGCTCATCTTGATTTATAAAAAGCTTGCATAGTTTAGAAACTGGTTTCCTTAGGGAGGACCAACTGTAGAACAATGCAGGTCTTTGTGGTAACTTGTTCTATGAGTGATATGAGGTGACAAGACAAGAGGGTAGGGAATTGAAGGCCAAGACTGAGCTACCAGTGCTCAGTACTGAGTCTTTGCATGGCCTCCAGGGATTTAGGCCTGACCAGGATAGCAAGGGAATAATCTTGTACAGGGCTCACACAAGCAAATGGAACTCCTAGAAAATTAACTTCATTTTTATGTACTAAGAAATGACTGAGGATGACAACAAAGAGTATGTTCACTTAAAAACACATCCATCCAGAAAGGGGCAATTCCAGAGAGGTGAGCCCAGACAGCCAGATCCTACTTGCAGGAACTCTTCCTTGTTGACAAAGGAGATGGTGATCTTGTCTTATACACTCCTGCTTACATCTAATCTTCCTTTGGCAAATCATTTTAGTATACCCGCCACGGTAGGAGAGCATAGATTCCTGTGAAAATACACATGAAAACTTGGTTTGTAAAAAAAGATCAGTCAGTTTAACAGGCTCCTTTCCTGATCTTTTGTTTGTTTGTTTGTTTGTTTGTTTGTTTTGAGACAAGAATAGTTTTAGTTTTGGCTGGTTTGGTACGTAAGTGTGTAGCCCAGGCTAACCTAAAACTCATGGTAATCCTCCTGCCTCAATGTTTAAGTGTTATGTTTTATAAAGTGCAGTATAATGTGGTGGGAGGGAGCACCTTAGCAGGCCAGTGAAGGTGTCCCCCTGAACAATCAAGCCATGCTGAAGATCTACTTAGTATACAGACAGATGGTTTATTCGCAGGAAGGGAAGGGGATCTGGAAAAGGGGTAGAGGCAGAAAAAAGGGGACAGAGAATGATAGAAATAGAGAGGAGAGAGGAAGAGAGGAAAAGATAGGCCTAGAACATGTAGGGGAGGGGAGTGGAAGAGAAACAGAGCAGCCCTTATATGCCAGGTTGGCTAGCACCTGGCAGGTGGCTCTGCTGTTGCTAGGTAGCTTTTGGGTGGAGCCCAGAGGAATTGCTAACACTAAATATAGGGGTCACAGGTATACCCCAGCACATACAATTTACAGATTGTTAAAAGACGAAAATTCTACATACTTTGGAATGAGTTAGTGAATCAGATACAGAAAAATTAAATGAGTACTTCTTAAAGGTCAGAATAAATTTAACACATCAAAAGATGTTCCTAATGGAACATAGAATGGTTTAAGAACACCTTTGCCTATCAATCCATACCAATATAAGTTAGTGTTATTATCCCAACTATGAAGATTCTACTGCCATACAACAAATATTCCATAATGGAATACCACAATCACAAATAGGAACTGGGTGAGAGTTCAGAGTCTCTGGAAGGTAGCAAGAGCAAACTAACACTTGTATCAACATGCATACAAGCATTTCATGAGCTACAAAGTATCACTTAACAAGAAAGAAGACACAATTTGGGAGAGTAAAGGAATTTAAAATAACTAGTAATTTTTCTTTAGGATTTTTTAGTATGAGGCAATTCTTTCAGCAATGCTGAATCCAAAACAACTGTAGATGTTATATTTCATTTCTCTTAGTTAAAAAAAAAATCTTACAGTAAAATATCTATTCCAACTGCTGCCAACAAGGATCACCAGATGGGCCTGGCTCTTTACCCTGCAATCTAACTACATAAGAAATTTTACTGTGAGATAGCTGGATTACTCTGAAAATAGGAACTTTTTACATTAATTATATTTAAAGCTCTCTCTTTCCACAAAGACAGAGCAGGAAGAGGGAGAGAGAAAAAGAGAGGAAAGAGAAAGAGAGGCAGGGGGAGGAGGAATGTGTGGTTTGAACAGGTATGGCCCACGTACACTCAGGTGTTGAAATGCTTGGCCCATAGGGAGTGGTACTATTAGGAGGTGTGGCCTTGTTGGAGGAAGTCTGTCACTGTGGAGGCAGGCTTTGATATTTCATAGGCTCCAACTATGTCCAGTTTGGACCACAGTTCCCTTCTGCCTGTGGCTCAAGAGGCAGAACTCTCAATTTCTTCTCCAGCACCATGACTGTCTACATGCTGCCACGCTCCTCCCCAAGGTGATGATAATGGACTAAAGTTCTGAAACAGCAAGCCAGCCCCAATGAAATGTTTTCGTTTTTAAGACTTGCTATGGTCATGGTGTGTCTTCACACTAATAAAACCCTAAAACAGAGAGGGAGAGAAACGTTCTTGCTCTAGTACATAGGGAGCAAAATCCTAAGTGAATGTGTTGTTCACATAGAATGGTCTCAAGCCCATTAGGCAGGTCCTTCTCCCTGGGGTGAGGGTGAAGCATGAAAAAGCCTTCCTCTGCTCCAAGTATGGATGCTGACACTTTGGAAAGAATGTCAGCCTTTCTAAACCCCTGAATGTTTATGGCCCCAAGAATGTTCCCCTCTGCAGAAACTATTCCTACAGAATTAATACCTATGTCTCGTCTCCTTAATCCCTGTATACCACAAACCCTGACTCCTTGTTCAATATTACATAATAAACACCAGGGTACTACAGCTTCTTCAGCAGAGAGCCTAGACCACCCAATCCCAGCTTTCTTTCTGTTTGTCCATCTCTGTCTGTCTTTTCTTTATTCCCTTGCTATCCTGGTCAGGCCTAAATCCCTGGAGGCCATGCAAAGACTCAGTACTGAGCACTGGTAGCTCAGTCTTGGCCTTCAATTCCCTACCCTCTTGTCTTGTCAGCCTTAACTTTTAGAAACAGTCTCTTATTCAAAGTTTGATTAGAGGACAAACACCTCACAAGGACTTACATAACAATCAAAATGTGGAACTATGTCATTAGGCTATTACCTTAAAATCATTAACTTTTACCTATTTTTTTTTTTTTTTTTTTGCCTGTGAAGCCACTGAACTTTATCCCCAGCACTATATTATTTTAAATTTCTTTCAGACAGATTCTTATTGAACAGGTCTCTCACAAAATAAATACAGCCAAACAAGCAAATGAACAAAGGAAAAACTGCAACAACAAGAAGCAGTGGGAGGAATCAGGATGGCGAAGAGATACAGGTAAGTATACCAGGAGCACAGCTGGAAGACCTGCTGGAGATGGGCCACAGGTGAGAGCTGAGCGTTCGT